CTGGGGGGGGGGGGGGGTGGCGGGGCGGGGCGGGGCGGAGAGGCCGGGCCAGGGCGGGTGCGGCGGGCAGCCGCGGGGCCGGGGCCAGACAAGGCCAGAGGCGGGACCAACCGCCGCCGTCTCCGTCTCGTTGTCTCTTCCCCCACAGCGCCGGGCAGCCGCCGCGGGAAAAGCGGAAACTGCCGGGTGAGCCGCGCCGGACGAGAGCGCGCCGAGGAGCAGCGGGGCGGCCTCCGTCCCGCCGAGCCGCCGCGGCGCCCCCTTCCCCGCGCCCCGCCCCGGCCCCGCCCGAGCTCGCCGCGCGCCCCCGCCGCCCGAGCGCGCCCACCTGAACCCGTCCGCGCCCACCTGAGCCCGTGCGCCGGCGCCATGGCGGAGCAGGAGAGCCTGGAGTTCGGGAAGGCGGACTTCGTGCTGATGGACACCGTCTCCATGCCCGAGTTCATGGCCAACCTTCGGCTCAGGTGAGGGTGGAGCGGCCGTGCGCAATGCCGCGTGCCTGCGCTTTCCCGAGAGGGGGCGCCCTTGCGGTGCGGCCGGATTGGGGGTGTAGGGGGTGCACCGAGCGCGAGGGATGCAGTGCGGCCGGATTGGGGTGTCCGGGGTCCTCTGAGCTCGTTGGTTGAGCTTTCCCGAGAGGGGACGCCCTGGGGTGCGTCCGCATTGGAGTGGAAGGGGCGTGCCGAGCTCCAGGACTGCGCCTTCTAGAGAGGGGGTGTCCTTGGGTGCTCTCCGGACGGGGGAGGGGGGTGTCGGGGGGAGGCAGCGCTTGGGGCCAGGCAGCTAGTGCGCTGCCCCAGGTAAGTGCTGTGGGCGGGCCGGGTGACCTAATGGAAACAAGAGTAGAGGGAAATAAAAACTTGCGGGAGAGTCGTGGCGGCCGCAAGGCTCTGGGAAGACTGGAGGGTTGTTTTGGAGAGAAGCTAGGGTCTCATCGCGGTTTCACACTTGGTTCTTTTCTTTTTTCGCTTTAGTCTTCTTTTTTTATTTTTTCCTGGCGTGGTTCCATCACGTCATTCAGGACGCTCTGGAGTGATCCCTGAGCTGTCTGTTCCGGGACACTGGCTATTTTTTAGTTACTCTCTGAACGTAATTAGACGCGTTTCCAGACATCGAAGAGACTGCTCTGCTCGCCAGTGCCAAGATAAACTGTCTGAATTTGACAAGGCATTCATGGTTTCAGTTTTTTCAAGGAGTTGTGGATGGAACCCTTGTGTTACTGACATCCTTGAGAATGTAGTCACAACTCAACGCCCCGGGATGGGCTTCCAGGACGAGTTTGTTTTAGAAAGGCTTCTACATGGGATTATTTCACTCCTGGTAGAGTAATATGTAAGCAGAGCTTTAAAGTAGTTTGACTTTCTTTTTAAAGAAAACATTACAGTAAATGGAGTTTCAAAATAACTGAGTTGGGGGCGGGAGGTGTTTCCTGGAAGTTCTGACTCCATTTCTTGTAGGTTTTAAATATCGCTCCATAAATTTAAAATTGAAAATCTTAATCTCGGTTTGGGTGCTTAACTAATCCCACTTCTCAGTATGAATTACCCTGTTAACTTTGTTGTTTTTTTTTACGCGGGCCTCTCACTGTTGTGGCTTCTCCCGTTGCGGAGCACAGGCTCCGGACGCGCAGGCTCAGCGGCCATGGCTCACGGGCCCAGCTGCTCCGCGGCACGTGGGATCCTCCCGGACCGGGGCACGAACCCGCGTCGCCTGCATCGGCAGGCGGACTCTCAACCACTGCGCCACCAGGGAAGCCCTCCCCTGTTAACTTTAAGAATTTTAAAAACTTTTTTAATCTTCAAAATTGCAGTCCCCATAGTCTGCATCTGCTCTTAGCCGGGTTTCATTATGTCCCAGAGTAAGGAGCAGAGGCACAGACCGGAGTTCTACACACACCTACCACAAACGACTTTGAGCCAGTCCATGTGTCTGAATTTCCTAATGTGTAAAGTAATGATCTCCAAGATTTTTCTGCCCTTACATTCTTTTTTTGCTTTCACATATCATTGGTTGCAAAGTCTTGTGAGGCTTGACTCTTAAGAAAGATTATTAATGTGAGCCTAACTTAGCTCAGAAGAGAACTTTGCACAGGAGAGAATATTGCAATTTAATTCTGCATTATGCAGGGTACTTTAGGAGGTAAGGTGGGAGGGTCCGAAGAACCATCAGATGTGTCCTTACCTCTCAAAGGCATGGCATGTTTATGAAGACAGGGAGCAAGGTGAACATTTTTATTCACTTAAATAATAGGTCAAGAAAACAATAGAAAAGTTAAGCTTTGTAGAGCTTAGATGATTCTTTGCCAAGTAATTGTACAACCTAATTGTTCTGGAAGTTTAGCAGAGGGAGAGATGCCCTGGGGTGGCTCAGAAACACCATCTAGAGGAGAGGAGGGGTTGAGAGGAGTTGCAGAGGATGGGTAGGATCTGTGTAGGTGGAGAACGTTCCAGGTGGATAAAGTGGCCAAGCAGAAGAGTGGAGCTTAAAAGCTGGCTCTGGGTGTTCGTGAATGCACTAAGTTGTCCGGAGGGGAAGGAATGGGTGTTGGGGAGTTGTGGAAGGAATCGCCAGCTCTCATCGGTATGACCCTTGGCTAATGCCCAGGTTTCTAGGTCTACCTTTATTCCCAATCACCAGGTCCATCAAGATTCAGATGTTGTATGTGTCTCACCTGTGTGTGTACTCTGCGAATTGGCTGCAAGTCTCAGCGCACGGGTTCAGTGATTGTTCATGGTTTATTTATAAGTTGGGAGGGGTTGGTTCCCAGGAGCCGTAAAGGGTAGCAGTGCCCTTGCCTCCTCCCCAGCTGTAAATCCTGATGACCCAGGTGGAAAGCAGGCCACTCTCTGATAGTTGGAATTTCTTATCAGCCTGTAGTTCCTCCAGACTGTTGCAGTGTTTTAGCTGTATGAGCCTTACTGTAAGGCTCGTGTGGACCCTTGGATATCTGTGTCCCTCTGCAGAAGGTGACCACAAACCCACTGTAGATCCAGGTGCTACTATGTCATGTAATGTTTTCATCTCCCGGAATATGGGTGGTTGGTCCTTACGGGGTATATATTTATGGTTGTATAGAGGCGAAATTTGAGTGTATTTCATCTTACAGTGGGTATGTGCGCACGTGCTCCATCATTCCTGCCTTCCCCAAGCTGCGGCTTCTCCTCTCACTCCCGTCTGGAATGTCCTGTCCCCTGCTGTCTATCTGGCTCTTCTGCAAGACCCCTTTCCTTCATTTATGGTCTGTGACATGCATTTAGGCACTTACAGCTACAGTTTCAGGGGTCTGTGTCATCCAAACCAAATTTTAATTTTCCCTACGGTAGCACCCACTGTGACATTTTTTATAGAGAGAGAAAAAAAGGAATGTTTCAGTTACTTTTTTTTTTTTAAGCTTTTGTATCATTTTCCATTTAGAATTATCTTATTTTGCTACTAGTCTGGCTTTCTTTTCCTCTCTTGGGTAAAAGCTTTATTTTTAGACATCTGCTACAATCAATGTCACTTTCCCCTTACTGTTATTATTTTTAAAAATTGATGTAGGCATGTGTCTGTGCCTGAGGGTCTGGATGAGGCAAGACTCAATGATGTGGATTAGTGTGAGTTAGCATATCTGAGAAGGAGTTTCAGTTTGTATTTTATGCTTATACCAAAAACTGCTGGTATCTTGAGGGCTGCCTTCTCTCCCTCCTAGGAGTCTCTTGCTAAGGGAGATTTGTTCTATTTATTTGCTTTTCCTTTTGGTGGAGGCACAGGTGTTGGTGGTTTTGGTGATGGTGGTAAGCTCCACACTCCACTTCCAAGCGTCCAATCCAGGAGTCAGATGCCTGCACAAGCACCTCCAGCCTTCGTGGTCAGGCCTGGTTCCCGCCAAACCCCCGCATGGCCACTTGAAGGCTCGACCTCGGCATCCCCACCACGGTCTGCTTTCTTCCTAGCCGCTTCCCTTTTTTGTGTGTGTGGTATGCGGGCCTCTCACTGTTGTGGCCTCTCCCGTTGCGGAGCACAGGCTCCGGACGCGCAGGCTCAGAGGCCATGGCTCACGGGCCCAGCTGCTCCGCGGCATGTGGGATCATCCCGGACCAGGGCACGAACCCGTGTCCCCTGCATCGGCAGGCGGACTCTCAACCACTGTGCCACCAGGGAAGCCCCGCTTCCCTTTTAGAGCCTTTGGTTCCTTTTCTCGTGGCTTGGGCCATTCCTGGACTTGAGTTCTAACAAAATTCACATCAGCTCTGCTGCACCCTGTCTCGCAGTGAGAGACCCGCCTGGTGCAGCCACGCGGAACATGTGGTGCTCACTGTGCCCTTACTCGCCACTTAGCCATCCTCGAGGAAGGAGGAATGCGGGCTGCTCTTCCTGAGGACGGTGGCCTGAGACACGTGCTTTTCATGTCACCGGTCGAGGAAACCCACTTTAGGCTTCCAGTTTCTAATTTTGTTGGTGGTGGTTCCTGTTTTGAGAATAAGGCATCTGCTCAGCCTGGTGTCTTGGTTCTTTGGAAATTTAATTTGTCCTCTTTTCTTATCGGTTTTTCTCTTCCATAAAAGCAGTGATTTGAAGCACTGTGTTTACCGAAGCTCCAGGCAACTTCTCACCTTTAACCTAACACAATGTTCCTTTTGTACCTTTGCTTAGACCAGGCTTTTCCTCAATCTTGGTGCTGTTGACAGTGGGGCTGGGGCATGCTTTGCTGGGGGGCGGGGGCTGCCCTGTGTGTTGTCAGATGTTTAGCAGCATCCCTGGCCTCTACCTACCAGATGCCAGGAGCACCACTCCCCTCCCATATGACAACCAAAAATATTTCCAGATGTTGCCAAATGTCCCCTGGGGGAGGGGGCAAAATTGTCCCCAGTTGAGAACCACTGGCCTCAGCTGTTCTAACTCCCTGGAATGCCCTGGAATGTCCTCCCCCTACTCTCTACCCTCATCCCTGCCTGTCAGACTCTTCCTTGTCCTGCGAGACCAGTTCTGAAAAGTCTTCCCCAAACCTCCAAGGCAAGGGTTAACCATACCCTCACCTGTGCTCCCAAGATATATGGGCACTTGATCATAACTGTTAGAGAGGATTTATCATGCTATGTTGTTTTCTCTGTGTGTCTGCATTCCCACCAAATTGTGAGATACCCCAAAGCCAGAGAGCCTGTCCAGAGGTGGATCCAGGTTGTGTGGTCCTTTGAAATTCATTACAGTTGGGGAGGGGGGAACCACCTCTGAGAAAAAGAGTATAAATTATGAATGTCAAATTAGATACACGGCTTTGGAAGGGCAAGCACAAGTGAGTGGCTGTAAAGCAAACCCACCTCTAGCCCTTCTGCATTTTCTATCATGCTCCAGAATTGGGCAGCTATGTGTTCAATACATTTTAAAATGAATGAACTGGGACTCCCCTGGTGGTCCAGTGGTTAGGACTCCGCAATTTCACTGCCGCGGGCCTGGGTTCGATCCCTGGTCAGGGAACTAAGAT